ATTTCTCCCCAAAAGCTGGACTGAAAAGTAGCTTTCTGTATATAGAAAAATAAAACAAGGACAAATAAAAAGGGATTATAACTGTTAAAGGGTAATTAAATCAAACAGTTATCACATCAAAGCAGAATACAGTTAAAAACCATGTCAATACATTGGGGTCAAAAATAAGTTACAATTAACAACAGAAAACTACAGTACTGTTCTTAGGAATCAGATAGTTGCCATAGGCCTGTCCAAACCGGGGGGGCGGGGGGGGAAGAGGTCGGTCGGTGGGGGGATGCTGGTGGAAACTGGCCAGCCTAGCCTCCTACAGTATGGAGCTCCATAGACAAGGATTGGCCACTGACTGCTTTGTGTGCTTAACATTTCTGTTTCTTATAGCTTCCACATTACCGCTTATCATCTACTGCTTGTATAAACTGTTTTAAAAACTCTTCTTTCCCCCTTCTGTTCTCTTCTGTTTCCTGTATTTTGCTTTCAAATGCCCTGTTTCTTCACCGGATTGTTACAGACAAGTCATGGTTGTCCAGAATGCAAGGTAGCGTATACTGTGTTGTCTTTTCATTGTTTCTGTAAGGCTTTGATGCATGAAATCAGTAGCATCCTAAAGTCCCAGACACCTGCAAAGTCTTCAGCCAAACTATATTTCCCTTAGAATTCACTGCTTATGGAAGTGTACATGAAATATGGATAAGACACAACACACAGTTGCAGTAGATTTTTGGAAATGGCAAGAGGGAATCAGTAGAGTAATATTTCAAGAACTGGTGTTGGTTCTTCTTTTTACATATGCAGAAGTAGTGTACTCTGAACTTGTCTTACAATCGCTAAGATTTTTAAGGAAACAAAATGTTGAAGAAATTAGTATTGATGAATTTTTCTTTATAAACGATCGGCAAAATCCCTCTAGAGAAATTTTGCCTGTCCTAGCTGAACTCTTTTGCCTTCTTTTGACATACCTCCACGTGTCACATGAGGAGGGAACTTCAGGTTGACCTCAAATTTCATTGACTGCAAAGTTCAGTGATGATCTAGAGATGCAAAGAAATTGATTAAAGGTTTACATAATACTTTAATGGAGCAAAAAATGGAAGATGAAATTGTGAGGGACTGCATGGTAAAATGGGATCAAAATATAGGTCATAATATAGAACTAAGTGCCTGGTCACAGATTTGGGAACGAAATATTAAAATGACTAAATCGATAAATCTAAAAGAAAATACAGTGGTGCCTCATATTACGACGTTAATTTGTTCCAGCGAAATCGCTGTAGAATGAAAACGGAATGTGATTTTAAAAAGCCAATAGAAATGCATTAAAACGAGATTAATGTGTTCCTAGGGGCTTGAAACTCACCGTCCAGCGAAGATCCTACATAGTGTGGCCATTTTCGCTGCCTGTGCAGCGAGGAACCCGTGCGAAAACACAGCGGACGGCCATTTTGTTTGCCCGGCGGCCATTTTGAAACCGCCGATCAGCTGTTAAAAAATCATTGCTTTGCGATGATCGGTTCCCGAAGCAGGGAACCAATCATCGCAAAGTGAAATTCCCCCATAGGGAACATCGTTTTGCGATTGCAAAAACATCAATGTCAAGCGATTTCATCGTCAAACGGAGCACCCGTCTTGCAGGGCACCACTGTATATACAAAATGTTTTACAGATGGTATGTAACACCAGGGAAATTAACAAAAATGTATAAAAATGTTTCTAATAAGTGCTGGAAACGTGAAAAGAAAGTATGGAGCTTCTATCGTATGTGGTGGATGTGCAGTAGAGCCAACACCTTTTGGAAAATGAATCATGAAATGATGGAGAAAATTTTAGGGGTTAAAATTGCTTTGACACCAGAAATTTTCTTATTGAATATATTACCAGCTACACTCGAAAAAAACAAGACTTATTTGACCTAACTGCAGCTAGAATTGTATATGCCAGTAAGTGGAAGACAACAAAGCTGCCAGTGAAGAAGGAATTTATTGAGAAGATTTTGGAACTAGCAGAAATGAATTATTTTGACAGATACACTAGACTGGATAACAATAAATGGGAACCTCTTTATACCTGGATGAAATCTACACGGATTTAAGTAGAATTGATTAGATTAATATTCTGTTAGAGAGTATAAGACAAGATGAAATGAATGGAACATACTGTAATAAATCACTCTGGTTGCAACGGATAGAAAGGAATAAAAAAAATTTAAAAAAATAGAGATTCACGGAAGTGCCTCTGAAGTACTTCAAATTCTATCAAAGATCCATACTCTTTCTCAGACATTTTGCCCAAAAATCTTATTTGAATGTTGATTTTGATTGTATGTATTTTAGCAGTAAAGCTCCTGTTTTTCTGATTCAGAAGTTGTGCAGTGCAGCCAGCAATCTACACGGATTTAAGTAGAATTGATTAGATTAGTTCTCATTAGTTAATACTTTTTGCTCTGTATCGTGACTGTACGTATTTGCTAACAAATGTGAAATTGACTGAGAGAGAAATTTCACAGTGTACATCACTTTAAATTATAGCTTTCTTGTTCTTGATCTTTTCCAAGTGCAAAATTAGTATGCTTTTTCACCCATTACTGGTTGGAAATTGGGTATAAAGCACATTGAATGTGAACTGATATTGTTACCATTCAATGATGGCTCATGGTCTAAGCAGGGAATAAATATCACCCTACCACTTACAGATGGAGCACTCTCTACTCCAATCATGGATGGCACCATTGCACTATAATGCTTTCTAGCTTGTTTAGGGTCTTCTGGCACTTCTGTATATGTTTCCATTTTGTTGCTCTCAGTGCAATAAAGCCATCTTCTTATAGAGAGAGATGTTACTAGTCCAAAGCTATCTTATAGAGATGAGTGCAGTGCAATAAAGCCATCTTCTTATAGAGATGTTACTAGTCCAAAGCTGTCTTATAGAGATGAGTTTATTTGCCAAATGAGAAGAGACAAGACAGCTTCAGGATTATATACTATTTTCCATTACAGCTTTTAAATGATATTCTAAAAAACAGTGAAATTACATAACCTATAAAACATCACTCCTAAATTATTACTGCAATCTCTCCTACAATGTAACTAAGATAAAAATAAGAATTTAAACCTGACATTCAGCTTCCCCCAAAATGATTGAGCATAAGGTTTAATCTGCCTGGACTCTTAAAAGTGGAATCAGTTATTGTCATTTCCTCCCTAACTTTCATTATCTTGAAACAATGTTATACCCCAGTATTAGATTAAGAGATGCTGAAATGCAGTGTGTAGTCAAAGTATCAACATCATGTTGTGGCAAAAGAGTCCATATCATTTTTTTCCAGACTTTAAGAAAGACAACACACAATAAATACAAATTAGATAATTAAGCAACATGTCTAAAATGCCCTACAGGTTTGCTCAGCTTCCCTGGCTGCCTTGAAGGATCAATATTGAATTAGTGTTCCTATTATTAACAGGATATCACTTGTATTAGAGTTTCCTTTTCACGTTTTTCAGGAATGGCTGTGCTATGATTAAAGACTAGGAGATAACACAATGGATTAAGCACACCTCAGCCTGAGACCTGAAAGGAAGTTTTTCAAGAAATCCAATACATCACCATTCACTCTTATAATGAGAACCGCTGCTGTAAACAGACCCCAGCAATTTGTAAATGCAACAAAGATATTTGTGATGCTGTCAGTTGGAAGATGGAAGTTGAAAAGTTTCTCAGCAAGCAGGCTAGGGACTCAAATGTATAATTTTTCAAAGACTGAAGCGGGAGAACATTCTGCAGAACATTATCATTTACACTGGAGCAGATCTACTGCCATTATACTGTCCTGGCATGAATGATCAGTTTATTTATTTTTATCAGATGCACTGAAATGGTTTCTGCATTGAAACAGATGGAGGCAAGTGAAAGTAATTCCAAGTTCTGTTTTCCTTACAGTGTTGAGAACAAGAGGAGAACAAAATATGCACAGAAGAGTTTGAATCCTGAATGGAACCAGACGGTCATTTATAAAAATATTTCTATGGAGCAGGTGTGTGACTGGGAGGGGTAGTCTTTCCTGGCTGGGGCAAACTGCTGTATGACTTAGGAGCAAATCAAAAATGTGAATGATCTGCAGTTCTTTCCCACGCTTCTAAAATTCTATCTGTTTTATCCATCTTGTCAATTTGCCATCGTAGCCAGGAGGTGCTGCCAGAAAGCTGAGAGGAAAAGGAAAATAACATATCCAGGGAATTAAAGCCTTCTGCTTAACAGACTGGTCAATTTCCTTTTCCCGTTGGAACTTCATGGAAAAATAGCACTGACTCGCTCTGATTTGAGAAGGCATCACAGACCTCAATTGTACCAGCAACCCAAATGCCTAGCCTCATCTCCAGATATACAAAAGCCCACTTTTTTTAGCTTCCTACTCCCAACAGACCTAACTTCACCTTCTCTATTCATCTCAGAGCTTTTAAAATGGCTGGTAATCAGCACGTTTCTCACTAGTGGGGAAACACAACCTTTCTTAATAGGAATGGAAGCAAAGGGTTAAAATGAAGACTTCCTCCCAAATGATTTCAAGTTTTACTTAGGTGAAAATTAATTGACAGTTCTAGCACTGGGTGCCCTCTTTGGCTGAAAACAATAGTGAAGTCTGAATCGCTAATGTAAGAAGATAGTTTCCATAGCTTGGTGGTAAAATGCATCCTGCATACATATATAAGGTTCTGAATTCACTTTTTGGGAGCTTTAGCTACAAGGATTTTGAATAGCACACTTAGGAATAACTTTCTTGGAGAAACTGCAGCTACACTTGTTTACTTTTATGAACCATAAATATGGGACAAGATATATTAATTGTCTAAGTACCCGCAACATAAGAAGAATCTTGTTTGACAAAATCAAAGGTCTATCTAGTCCAGCACCCTTTGTCTACACCAGGGGTCTCCAAACCTTTCAGTTTGAGGGCCACATATATTTTATACATTTTTGAGGGCCGAAAGGGGGGGGCAGTTTTATAATGAATGAACAACAGATAGAGTGGAGGATCACTTCTGTCAGGCTTTGCTCTTCTTCCTATCTCCACCCAGGCATAGGAAGAGGAGGGAAGGAAGACCAAAGTGATCCCCTACTCCCGTTGTCTTTGCAAAGACAGTGGGAGAATAACCTTGCTGAAAGGGAAGCCCATCCTGCTCCTCAAAGCTAGGCTGCTGGAACTGAAACCACAGTTTCAGCAGTCTAGGTTCTGTTTCCGCTGCCATCCATTCTAGGAAGCCACAGACTCCCAGCATACTGGACTGGACCAGATACAAAGGCAAGGTGGGCTGGATGTATCGCAGGCCATAGTTTGGAGACCCCTGGTATACAGGCAACATTCAGAGACTTCTGAGAAGCCTACAATCTGTAATATTCTTCTACCTTGCTTGTCAACAGTTACTATCCAGTGGCATATTGCCTCAGAACCTAGAAGCATCCTCATATTGGAGATGAAACAGCCTGTCTTATCAAGTGTACTATCCGTATTCACATTCATTCATTTATACATTTTATAAAAACCATTCTATTTCCTTCCTGTTCTTTGCTTTTCTCCTCCAAATTTAACGAAAACTTGAAATATTTGGAAAGGAAGTATGCGTGTTCAAAGTCTTTTGGTAATATGACATGATTAACATTTTTCAAGCCGTAGCAAGTATATCTATTTACATCTGTGGTTGTAATGTAAATGGGTGTATTTATAAAATACAACCGTGCCATTTCTAAAAGCACTACATTTGTATTAGCAGATAGCACTAGAGAAAATGTTTCTTGTGAAATGAATGCTTTTTGATTCATCAGTACAATCCATAAATTGGAGGTAAATTCCTTTCCAACCATAGTAATGAAAGATAACACTAGCAGTAACAGGGTAAAAATTACCACTAGAGTAATCTCCCTGGATTAAACTAGGGTACAAAAGCATATGTAAGCAGTTTGGTGAGCAATGTTGCAACCACTTGGACAGCCAATGACAAATCCAATTGTGGAGCTGTGTACACACCAGCTTGCAAAAAACTATACTGGATACTACCTTTGTGCTAACTCTTCAAATGTGTGACCATTAGAGCAAAGATAGTGCCTGTTCACTATGGGCTGGTACTGTACAGGAATATAATATGATACAATATGATACAGTACAGTACAATGCGATGATCTAAGGCAATAGAATAGAACAGAATAGAATAGAATATGCACCACAGATACATCACTGAGCTCCTTTGCACCCACTCCGTGTTCAACATACAACTGTAAATATGCAGAGCTGAACTAGAAATGTGATATGGTACAGAAAATTGTACAGTCTTTTCCTTCTTGACCATCAGCAATGTATGAATAAGGCTTTTGTTCCACAATAAGTTTCTGTCTGGAGACATGGAAAGAAAAATACTGAATTATAAAGAAGAGATTCATAGTGTTCAAAGCTTAATCTCCTCTATCTCTTATATTCTGGAAGGTTGCTGAGTCACAGCTTTTATTCTTAAATGCACGAAATGAAATTAGTTAGTTCATATGATACTTCAGAGGACTGGACCTCTCTTTGAAAGGCCCATCCAAATGGAACTTACTCTTGATTCAGATGGGGAATCAGTTATTCAGCTTTGACCTAAGTACACGGAATAATACACATCTAGGCCACATTTTGATGGCTGCCTATGTGTATGCAACAGACAAGAGTTCAGCATGCCATTGCATGCATAGCTGAAACATCTAAAGAGGCCCACTGTAATTTCCAGATCTTGTTGTTACTTCTCCTTGTAACTGTATTGTTGTGGAATTAATTTTAATAGTGTTTTTAATTTATGGGGAACAGAGCTATAATTTAACTAATAAAGAAACAATTTGGCTAACTGATGGCAAATGCTGTCAAATAATCAAGTGTTTAAAATACTAATTTGTTTATTTAAAAGTCTATCAGCAGTCAACAGAGAAAATTATATAACTGCCCAATTACTAGCTTGCTGGAGCTCCCCACACCAGATGAGGAGGCCTACCGATCCCACAACAAATGCATTTGATAACAGGATTTGGGGTCACTTGTGAACTGGTCAGAATGTCAAAGATAGAGTATTCTAAGCTTATATTGAATTCTTTTCCAAGGAGAAATAATTTTCCCAAAGGATCCAAAGTAGAGGAACACTTCTTTACACATTTTTGCATGTTCTGAGATTGTGGCATATGGACCCATCATTTTTCTTAAGTGTTCTATCTTCAGTTATCCAAGTGCAAAAACAGATGAGATAGTAACGTTGGGTTGTTGTTTTTTCCTGTTGAATCCCTTGTGTGTTGTAGGAATGCCTAATTCATTTGATGAAGCAGTATCGCGAACATCTCAAATGACAGTTGTTACCTACTTTGACATATGATACAAAATGCTGTGCATTTCTGGGGAGTCCTCCTAATAATCAGTCAGCCCTAACAGGTCTTGATATGCTATCTTCAAACCTAAAATAATGTGGAAGGAAGATCTGTAAAGCATGATTTGAAATGTTCTAGTAAACTTATTCAGCCATGCTTTACTGTGAATGCCAATGCATTTTGACATTGCCCAGAACACAATAAAATTTATTCAGTGGTACTGAGAACTGCAAAAAGACAGATAGATGCTATCAACTTTTTAAAAGTCACAATGCAGTCTTTGTATTGGGAGCACAGCCAAGCTTGGCAAAAGAACTTCTCCAAGTTCCATAGAATCTAACCTGAGCTCATCTGTCTTGATATCAAGTTTCAGCTATATCTGAAATGAATTTGCCAAGTCCAAGGTTGATGTGAGGACAATAATAGCCTGGCTGTCATATTGAAAAAGTACAGGGGGTGCAGACAGATGGCAACAAGCCGAGCATGTTTTATGGATCAAATGCCAAACGCACGGTGAGGATTTAAATTAATTATCTTTTTATTTTGACTGCAGCTCAAGAAGAAAACCCTGGAAGTCACTGTCTGGGACTATGATAGATTCTCCTCCAATGACTTTCTTGGTGAGGTGAGTTTTCCTTTTTTTTCTTGCTTCATTGCCTTTCCTTACTCAGTGCAGTAATCACATTTTTCATCCAGATGAGAAGGTCTGTTATTTCCAAATGCATGCTTCTTAGAGAAAGGCGAGTGATGACTCATATAATCAGCAGCAATGATGATGGATCAGTGCTAATCACAGGCATTATAGAAAATGATGCTATCTCTGGCTTAGTTCAGAAATCACACTAAATCATGGTTAAGGAAATTTAACAATAGTTTGATATGACACCTCATTCAGCAACCTACAGTTTATGGTTAGCTGTTGACGCAGAATTGGAAACAATGGTTTGAAATGACATTTTTCAGCTAAACCCTGGTTTGGTGGTGTACCTGAACTGATAGTGTTGGCTATCATTGTACTTTCAAATGCCATTACACCACTGCAATATGAACAGATTATGAACTTAATGAAGCTGAGTCTTGGGAACAAAAACAGACAAATTGCTCTTCATAACAGTTTGCCTGTTGAATGTCTGGAAGATCAAATTATGAGTTACAGTGCAAAATCATGGTTTGGTGTTAGAGATGGGCATGAACCACTGGTTTGGCACTTCATCCTGGTTTGTCTGTCAGTCCGACAAGCGTTCTGTGGTTTTGAGCCCCACCTCTTTAAGCAGGCGCCCAGTCACAGACATGGGCCTGGCTTCTGTGCCCCCCCTGCCTCTGAGTGAGTGCCAGCCAGAGGAGGCAGAGTTTGGAACTACAGCTCAGAGTAGTATGAATTTATTAATTGGGCAATATATAAAACAAATTGATAAACAAATGAATAAATGCTCATCCATTCTTTTGTTCTGTATGTCCCATCCCACTTGGATTGAGGACATCATTCTATCATAACCAAGTTCCATTGGAACAGATTTTTCCCCCTTCCTCAACTGTTGTAACAGTTTTGTCACTCACTCTGCACTCCCTTGTGAATCAAGCCATTCATTCTATCATGCAACCAGCCCATTTACTAATGCACATACAATAACCATAAACAAAAAACCACACACATAATATTGAATTAATCCCACTATTCAGCTCAAAAATTGATTATACAATTAAAACAACAACAATGTGATAAAGGTCAAATTGTTAGAAGAGAACCTAGATGATGGCACTTCTTTCTTTTCCATTAAAAACCAACATTAAAATCCAGCCTTTCTCAGATGTATAAATCTTTACTCTTCACCACCAACAGAGACCAATCCTAAGTAACTGCATTCATGATTATTCCTCCCCTGTTGGGCTCTTTCTGTTTCTCTGTCTTCCTTCCTCTTAGGTTGTTTCCTCCTACATAAATATTAGTTTTGTAAACTCCTCAGAACAGAAAAATGGCTTGTTATTTATAAGTGTCATGAACAATGAATGAAGCAACAATAACATTAATAATAACAACCACCATAATAGATATAAAAATATTGTTTTGTCTCCAAGGTTAGATATGTAGAAATTGAACAGAAGATTATCTCTCAGCATATTTTCATGGAACTGTTTTCGATGTGGTGTAGCATTTCTGGATTGTTTTGATAAACTCCTGAGGTATAGGCATGTATGGCAGATCAGGATGACCCTCTCCCCACCACTGGACCTTCATTTGTTAATTTACTCTGTGTCATCACATAGGTGTTAATTGAGCTGTCTAGTCCTTCTCAGCTGGACAATACTCCTCGATGGTATGCTCTGAAGGAACAGAGTGAAAGCATTGACCACGGGAAGCCTCATTCTGGACAGAGCAGCCAGCAGTCCCCCAAGCCATCTGTCATCAAGAGCAGAAGTCATGGGATTTTCCCTGATCCATCAAAAGGTAGGAAATTATGTGCTTACGCACATGTGCCCATGTGTCTTTCTTCAGAAGAAATGCAAATCTGCTGCTACTCCTTGGCTCTTACCATCTCCTCCTTGTCATATCTAGTTTAACATACACCTTGGGATGTGACATGGTTTAGGTATATGGCTGCAAAGCCAGGGGTTGGGATTTCAATTCCCCACTGTCCCTCCTGGGAGAAGAGTTAGCCTGTGTGCCATTGGCTGAGTTGCACAGTCCTAGGACACCTCCAGAAGAAAAGAATGATAAATCACTTCTGAGTACTCTATACCTAGAATTTACTTTTACTCGGCATTGATTTTCCCTTGCTGTTGACATCTCTTAAGGTGGAAGGGAGGATTAACACAAGGTGATATCTATTGTGTTAAACCTGGGCAGAGACAAAGAGTGCTGTCATGTCTCTCTGGAAATCCATTCTGCCCCAACAGTAAAAGCCATTGTTGCCTCTCTACTTAAGTCAAATGAATCCAGATAAATTGAAGATTCTTCTATTGGGAGGATCATCAGACTGGTTATAAGATATTTACCTGCCCTCAATGAGGTTACACCTGCCCTGCCCACAAAGGATCAGATTCACAATCTGGGGGTACTCTTGGATCCAATATTTTTCTATGGAAGCACAAACATGTGCTGTGGCCAAGAGTGCTTTTTATCAACTTCAGTTGATTGCCCAGCCTAACAACTGTGGTTCATCTCTAAAATAGACTTCTGTAATGCTCTCCATGATAGGGACTGGTGGCACTGCAGGTTAAACCACAGAAGCCTCTGTGGTGCAAGGTCGGAAGACCAGCAGTCGTAAGATTGAATCCACGTGACAGAGTGGATTCGATCCCAACTCCTGCCAACCTAGCAGTTGGGAAGCATTTAAAAATACAAGTAGATAAATAGGTACCACCTCAGTGGAAAAGTAACAGCATTCCATATCTAGTTGCGCTAGCCACGTGCCCACGGAAATTGTCTTTGGACAAACACTGGCTCTATGGCTTGGAAATGGGGATGAGCACCACGCCCTAGAGTCAGACACGACTGGACTAAATGTCAAGGGGAACTTTTACGTAATACTCTCCACATAGGGATGCCCTTGAAGTCAATACAGAAACTTCAATAGGTCCAAAATGCAGTGCCCCAGACTGATTACAGGTATCAACAAATATGAACACATATCCCTAGTCTTGGCACACCTTCATTACCTCCCTGATAGTTTCTGTGCTCAATTTAAGGTGCTGGTCATAATAACTTATAAGCCCATTAATGGTTTAGGACTTCAGTAATTTGTCAGTCCCACAAATAGGTAGCCATCCCACACAGTCCTTTATGTTAAGACCCAAGGAATAAAGCCAGCACTCGGAACTGAGCGTTCATGGTCACACACCCCTCCTCTAGAATAAGCTTCCTACAGAGGTTTTACAGGCACAACCCCTCTCTGTGTTTAGGAAGCTGATTAAAACCAAACTATGTAAAGTTGCCTTCTACTAGTGTAAATATTGTCTTGAGATGTTCAAATGGGCATTAATTTGTGTATTTTTATTTAAAGGTAGTTTTATCTAGCAACAGGAGTCACTGTATTTTATTGTATTTTTGTATGTATTATGTAGTGTTTAGTGTATTATCTTATTGTATATTGTGAACCACCTAGATACTGGCTATACTCTTGGAGTTGCATAGAAATGGAAATTAAATAAATAAGTAAATAAATACATAAATGCAGTGGTCAAGAAAAGACAGAAGTTCTGAGGGTGGGTGGCCCTGTGGATGGTGGCTTGGGAAACTCCCTCATGTTTGGGGGGGGGTGGCCCTGGCCGCGAAGAGTGGGATCCGCAGCCTGGGGGTACACCTGGACCCGATGCTCACCATGGAAA